AGGAAGAAGACAGTTTTATCAAAAACCAAAATCATGGTTATTCTGAATTTGTGCGTGTCCAACCTATATGCTGACAGACTTGTACTGTAGTGGGGGGGGGAGGAGGATCTTAAGTCCTGTATGATCCCGCGACTACTTCAATACAGTTCCCATAGTTTCATTTGAGATTTCTGAGATATTCCAAAATTCACTGAATAAATAACCAACTATTGTAAGTTTCGCTGGAAACATTCAAACTTCTTAATCTACTATTCAGATCTTTATTATAAAGATTTTATTTTCTCTTACCCTGGACAGGTGTATCTGCAGTCTCACCCTAGGGTTAAGACGGGGGAATTCCCCCTATCATAACAATGGTATGACGTCACTTCAACAAGCCATCAACGTCACGTCAACCCTGAATTTAGCATGGTAATTACGTTATCATTACATTGTGTACATGATACACAATGGTAGAACAGGGTAAGAGAAAAAGAATCATTCACCCCCTTGTTGGTGAGATAGGGGAATCTCAACCCTCCGGGAAAGATTCTTAAGTTGCCAAACAGTTGGCAAAGCCTCGTGTTTGGCAACATAAGAATCTTCCCCCTCAGGTTGAGATTCCCCTATCTCACCCCCAAGGGGGTGAGAGATTCTATTAATCTCAATTTGGCCTCATCAAATGATGATACTGTTTAAATTTGTGTTTTAATATACCATTGACCTCAAACTGTCCATAATTAATAATCATAATAATTCGAGGTTCTTATATACTGCTTTATCACAACCTAGTTGGTAGGTCGTCTCAAAGCAGTTCACAAATTATTATCCATGGTTATAGGGCCTTTGCAACCAGCAAATATCTTTCTCAACTCCCTTGGGAGCACACAGTCGGTGCTGTCATTTGGCGCTCAAAGCTACCATTCAACAATTCTAGCACTACCCAACCACATACTCATTTACAGCTGAGTAGACTGTAACAAGCGGAGTAAAGTCTCTTGCTCAAAGATACAACACAGTGCCGTGACTCTCGAACCCGCAACCCTTCGGTCAGGAGGCATCCTACCACTAGACTGCCGTGCCTCAAGTGCAAGTACTGCCGGTGATGAGAAAACTTTGGAGCCATTCCTATCTAGCTACAGTGTTTCTCGACTTAGTAAGTGACATTTTTTTTTCTATCAAAATGCAAAATTATGGATTTTACTTAGTTTGTTAGCCATATATAGGCATAATACACCACTAAGATATAGACATAAATATGATAGGATTAAGACAACCCGCTGTAAATATGAAGAGCTTATGAATAACGCAGAACTTAACTCAACTCAAGGACGACGCACAGCAAGACTTCATTTCAAATTCTCTTATTATTGTTCAAATTCTGATAATAAATATTTTAATTCCATGTAATTCTGTGGAAAAAAACCCCAACTCAGAATCATTATTATTAAGAAAAGAATCCTCTCATAATCCATACTTACCAACCTGAAGAAAATGTTATGGAAAGCATTTTTAGGTCACCTGAGCTTTAGCTCAAGTGACCTATTGCTATCCGTTTTCGTCCGTCGTCGTCCGTCGTCCGTCGTCCNTTTTTGTTGTTGAACATGGCCTTAAGATAGTGACATCGGGTGAGGGTCGTTCAGAAAGCTACCTCTTGGAGTGGGTTTCTGAATCTTTTTTAAGAACATCGCGCTTTCTATCAGTTTGAAGAAAATATGGCATGTTAAGTAAGCTGCTATGGCGAGCATTAAATCATTCCATGTCCATTAAATAGCCCACCAACACGGCTTTCTGTGACGTAGAGATCAGAGGCCGTATTCGTGAAACTGTTCTGGTGCTCAAACCTTGATTCTGTGTTCAATCCCAATTTCCGGTAATAAACCAATAAAAAGAAATCTACTATGTTAATGATCTGGAAGAATTATGGAGAGAATTAAAGCAGAAAACCGTTTTCAGCGTTAACACTTTTTGACCGTATCACATAATTTAAGGGAGCTACATGTAAACGCAAATTGGATTGGGTAAATAATACATGATTGAAGATGAGAGCGGTTGCATGAATACATCCCCAGATTGGCGAGGTGTGCAAGTGTTGTGTTAGACTTGTCTTTTATAAATACTTAATTTATTCCACGTGGACCCCATAATTTGTTACATCATCTACGGTTCGAAGCGACAGGTGTGTTAAGAGGAATAGAACACGCTTCAGTTAAACAAATCGTCATGTCACTCTTCTACCAGTTCAATTAATATACAGGAAATTGGACCAAGAGACATATGATATGTGTGTGATCAATTACAATCTCATTTTAAGATTAAAAATAAAATTTGTAGAAATGCGGAAGAATCAACGATCAACAAACTATGCCAGCACCTTACAGAGAACGGGAACTGTTCTGTGAAAATGGAACATTGATTCGGATAAACCAGACGTATTGTATCATGATTACCGACTCTTCAAAGAATGTCTTCAATGTTTTAATATGGCATTGGTCAAGTTACTAAATGTGAAACATAGCAAACAGACTGATTCAGAAACGGCGTTGATAATGTTCCTAAAGACTTAGCTTAAATGCTAAACGTGAAACAAAGACAGACACTAACAAGGCTAACCACACATACAGCCTGATCCAGAAAAAGGCATTGATAATATTCTCAAAGACTCAGCAAATCTTTTGTCCGGTAAGAACCGGTCACCGTGCATTGGTCAACAGCCCTGACAGAAATATATATTAAATAGTAGACCTGCCGGTCTCAGAACGGGGTCACAAACATCACTGACGTTTATATACTAGTAATAAGTATACGTACTTAGTACGTAGTCAGCAGACTACAGACCAATCCCTACCCAAAGTTTCATTCCCCACACTCAATAACACCTCTGTCAATAAGTTTTCAAGATTTTTCCGGGATTTTTGGCATTCAGCCCCTGACACAAGTGTAGGGAACGAAAAGTCTGGGTAGAGTTTGACTATACAGACAAAATAGTCTGCTGATAAACTGGCGATTTGGATGATTTGAAACAGTACAACAATCATACGACTCTGCAACAATCCTGCTACTAACTGGACTAAGTACACTTTCCATAGTACATGTAAAATAGAGCTACTTATGAAATTGAGTTGCTAACTGCCCCGGCCAACTAACTAAGTTTTATATAGTAGTTATGTGTATAACTGTAGTTACTGAAGAGATCTAGACAATGTAATGGTTTGCGAGAATACTATCTGTGTTTCTGCTGTGTGATATCCGATATAAAAAAAAGTAGTACTGTACTACTTTTTTAATCATTTTCATCGCGTATTATTTTGGATAATTGCAGCATTAGAATTTTGATTTACATGTTTAATTCTCGTTTACAATGTGTTGCATTCGTCTTTCTGAATTCATTCTGAATATTAGTTAATAGGTTCGTCATTGGGGTGGTTGACATGTGTTTATTGTGCTTTACAAGTGACCGTTAGTGAGGATGATGTTGTTCGATGGTTTTGGCGATGAATATATTTCGTCGGTGTTTAAGTCGCCAGATACTTTTTCCTGCGTTTCTATGATACCGTCGAAGTCCTTTTGAGGATGTTTAACGACAGAATTGCCTGTCTAGAATATAAATAAAACTATATATTGATTTTTGTCATATTCCAATAAAAAAAAAAAAAAAAAACCATACCAGTTTAGTTCGTTGATAATGTGTGTGTAACAGTTTATTTAATGCAACTATACCCGGCCTCTGTATACGTAAATGATGTGAAAACAATGTATAGCACTTACATCACTTGATTTAGGGTTTATTTAGATATATTAGAGGAAGGTTTAGAAATGTAGCGGACGTAGGCTGGGGTAGATCGTCGGCGACTATAGGTAGCTCAATTAGTAGAGCATCCGTCTAGATTTCGAAGCGTCAAGGGTTCGAACCCCGGTCTGGCCTAGCCGTGCATTTTTCTATCTCTCGTTACAGAAACTAAGAAAGCGCACACATACACATATTAACAGAGTGAGTGAGAAAAAGGAATGGAAGTGAGTAAACGTATGTACAGATAAGCGTATACAACCTGCATGAAAGAAGCAACATAGGTTTATCGAATAAAAAGGAACAAATAGAATTGAAAATTAAATATAAAAATAAGAGAGCAAAAGAGTAATTTAATAAAAACCAACGTACGATGGTGAAATGAAATGATAAGATACTTATATAATCATGAAAATTAACACCATAGTCAGTGTTATTATTATACCCTTCGTTTATTTGATAGATAAGTTACATGTACCAGTATATATATATGCAGGCATTATGAGAAAATAATAAGAGCAATTATTTATAAATGAGTCAACATTCTGATCAAGTACATGAAAAAAACACCACGTAATCAGATAAAACTGTACAAAACATTCTTTGCATGTAAGTTATTCACAAAATTGTATATTCCATCAGCTGCACTAACTAAGCATGTGAACTATTTTAATTACACGTACTGCCGATAGACATGTATACCAGTTATATAGAACACAGGCCAAGTTCGTCAAAGTATGGTGACCTTATTTATATTAAACCAGAGACATATAAAGCCATGTAGTATATCCGTCTTTGATTAAACCGGCAGATAAATTAACGCGAAACATTTAGCTAGAAAATGTTACATGTTAAAATTATGAAGACCTACACGTTTGAATAAAACTATACATTTGGGACAGAAATTATTCGCTTGATGAGAGAAAACACGCAATGATGTGGTGCAATTTTCTCAAAAATGACACTTTTGAAAATAGTTTTTTTAACTTTCTGTGTGATCCTAATAGAACTGACCACACTTGCGATAAAGGAGAACAGAGGTCATCTGGAGCCTAAAATGTATTTTATGAGTTCAACAGTAAGTTACTTGCGACCGCATGGCTTTCAACGTGACTAGTGCTATTTTTAGCCAGTAACCCTTATACCCTCCGACGTTATCACAGTGGAAACAATTGTAAAAAATGACGTTGTGAAGCTAAATGCGTGAACTAATCGAGAGCCATTGGCTGCCGGCCATAATTTCCGGAGATAAAGCGCGCGCAGCCTAGCGCTGTCATATCAGAACCGGGGTTCAGACCAGGAGGAAAGTGAGGAAAGTACAGATATGGCAGGGGTTTCGCCGATGTCTCGTCTTTTTCAGCGCAGACAAGTATGGAACATTTTGAAGTTAATTAACAAACAGAGCAGTTTTGCAGCTGTTCGTGTGTCGACGCCAAAAGCGTGTGCTACATTACACGGAAAATGTTCGAAAGTCCAAGGCCAAGTCCAGAAAGGTTAGTATTTGTCTACTTTCGGTTAAATCCCAAGTATCCTCTGGCACCAGACTTAGTCATTTTGACAGATATATCTCTAGTGTGGACAATACCAGACATCTATCTGTCAAAATATCTAAGCCACACCAGACACTTTTCTGTTAAAATGTAAGTCTGGTGTCGGGGCCAGAAGAATCCCGGGCTACACCAGTATCATGATTTAGTTTATTATTGTCAGTTTCACAAAACATCCGTGTCAATAAAATCCTTTTTCTGATGTATTTTTCAATGAAGTCATTTTCCACCTGATTACTTTTTTGTCATGATCTTATAAAGAAGATATGTAGGCCCTCTCTATACAACTGACCAAAACTGATTAACAAGTTTAACATCAAATATGCATTTTTCCAAACATTTTCTTCAGGTTGGTAATTATAAGTATGGATTATGAGAGGATTCTTTTCTTAATAATAATGAAAGAATTGTGAGTTCTTTTTACACAACCAATACAATTTTCTATTTGACGTTTCGATGACTAGTACGATATGTAAACTAGCTGTCACCTTAAACTCATGACAGACAAATGACCAATGAAGCGTATGCACACAAAGGCGTTAAATGTGTACGAGTTGTCCATAAAATCGATGTTGATTTTGGCTACACTGGAAACGTATGTACAATAGTTGTTATATATGTACCGAAATGACTCAATTCAGCTACGCTTGGTTAACACTTGGTCATAGATGTGCGAGAGTCTTTGAGCCCCCTCGTCTCGATTTAGAACTGGCCCACTGCGGCGTATCCAGATGGCTTCCTTGTATTGACATGGAGGATGACCCTTTGTCATTTTGGCAAACAAACTCTGTCCAATACCCTGTTCTGTCAACACTTGCTCTCAAGTATTAGACTATCCCATCATCTTCAGCATCATTGAGAGATTATTCAGTATAGCCCGGAAGATATTCCACCCAGACAGATGCCGTCTAAATGACAAAACTTTTGAACATCTGATGATGATCAAATGCAGTATGTATGAAACACCAACAACAGGTTAATAACAAATAAACTTTTAATTGGCTTGGATTAAAAAAAAACACCAGAATATTAAATAAAGGTTATGTGTAATGGTAAATAATTACATTGGCATTGTAATGGTAATTAATTACATTAAGAAAACCATGTAATGGTAATGATAATGGTAATGTGCTACCTTTCCAATGTAATGTGTAATTTAATTAATTACATTGCCAATGTAATTGCCCCATGCCTACTGGAATGGAGAGCTATCAAAGTTGTTTAAATAAATCACCTTGACTTAAAAGGTCTAGGATTATAATGATTATGATTGAGAAGTAGGGTGTTGGAAAGGAGAAATACCAAAAGTTAACATAGATCTTTCATATTTCGTCATACATTCATAAAGGTCGAGGGTCATGAGAATTGACCAGTAGCTAGCGAGCTTGCATAAAGGACTGTCTGAATTATCAAAGTGAATGGCTTTGGCGCATCGATTCATTCACAGGTCTCAGTGGGTGAAGTATGTTTAAATATCATACTCCCTATTTAGGACCCTTAAATTGAGTGTTTTCAACCAGTGAATTTGCTAAATTTTTCCTATATTCTAAGATCTAATGGTTTCATCTGAAAGAACAACTCAAGATATGTCATTTCAAAGGGTTATTTTCCTGTGGGGGGTATACACACACACACATTTTATTCATGTTTTAATTTTGAGCATGCAAAATCTCCCCCATGGAAATTTCAAAAAGTTGGCAAGCATAGCCAGGTTCAACTCTCGGGTCTAAAAGTGGATTTCTCTTTATTCTCCTGTAACAGTTTATTAAGAATGCTTCTTACATGTGTGAATAGAGAGGTTCTGACTAACTAGGTGTGACACGTCCCTAGATGAAGCAGATACATGGTTGTAAGTGAAAGTGTGTTGCACTCCTTTCCAATTCTAACTGGTGAATGTTGACAAAATTTGTGTGAATGTTCATCTCATGATGTGGAATTGAAGATATCTGCGCTATCTTCTGATTGGCTGATTGGATTTCTACCAGGCTGACATTAATACAAATACAGTATTTTGGTCATGGTTCTGACCAAATGTTATTTCTGATATTAAACAATAAAATGGCCAATTGTCCTCTGTTTTGCTGAAATATATATATATATGTTCAATTGCTCTAAATTTCAACCTTGCCATAGGTTACTAATCTTGATTTGAATAATGTTCTCATGGGTTTGAACAGATGCTGTGATTACTTTTCTTAATTCAGAAGTTTAGAGTCATCACTCTGTGATTGGTCAAGACATAGTAAAGACTAATTTTCAATCTTACCTGGTCAATTTATGCCAAATATATTATAAATGTTCATCTCACTGCAATTAATACCAAGTTGCAATCTATTTTAATAGTTTGTGTCAGTCTCAAGTTCGCAGAAACATTTTAAGTTTTTGTTAATTTCATTTTACAAAAAGAAACTGGTCAGTCACTGGGGCCAAATAGGACGAAAGCTGAGATTTTCATGCATCTCAGCAGATATTTTACCTGACATATCAACTCAAGGTGCATGTTCGGTGTGAACATATATTCTGCATGATAGATCTTATTAAGTGGAACATCATTAAAATCTTAGGTTCTATCTGAACATGCTATCTACTTATATAAGTGAAGCACATTACGAGCCATTTCTGTCCTGAATTTTAAAAGCTCCTTTCACTGATAATGTCATTTGATTTGTTAGTCAGCTGCAGTGTTACCTTTTTGCTGAGGTCTTTGGAGTGCATTGGGTACAACAGCTATTGATGCACAGCATAAGTAATTGGAAAGGTGCACAACAGCAGGAGAAAGTCATATTGCCTATGGCTATAGCATTAAGTGTGATTACAGAGTGCATGTCAGACCGAATCGTGTGAAAACATCTCAACATGCACATCGATGCTACAATCTGGAACTTGTACTGGCAGTTAGTTGATTTCATTGTGGCTGATGTCCTGTCTCTTTGTCTGATAATAAAAGATATGACTACCATAGTTGAAGGTAGCTGGGGTGAAAGGCTATCAGAGTTGTTCAAATACATGACCTTGACATTTATTCAAAGCAACAATTTTGTATTATGTCCTGTTCTATATTATTTATCAGTTAGAGTATGGAAACAATAAAAATGAATGTAGAATATTTAATCTTTAATTCAAATTAAAGTCGGCATTGGTTGTCGAACATTGAACAAATTTCGGAAAAAATGATAAAATTTCAGTTTTAGATGACAGGAGGTGTTTTAACATATCATTATCAAGCCATATTAGGTCTGGGACATGTGACAGGAGTTGCATCCCTCGTGTGCTGGCAAGTGCAGATCACTAAGTGTTTCAGACTTGTACCTACATAACTGTCTTGTGAAAATGTAGATATTGTTCCTGTCTTGGCCACTGTTGTCGATATTATTGGTCCATACTAGGTTCAATTGATTGTGTGAGAAATACAAAGGAAATTAACGTAAAGTTGTAAGATGTATCTGGTGACTGTCACTTCTGCTGCTAAAAAACACTGCAAAACAATGTTTTTGTTGCATGTGTAATGCTTGAAGATCGTATGCACTTTGCACTTCATTACTCAATTCATTTTCACTAAGACAAAAGCAAGAAAAGGTGACAATAATTTCAATCGCACTTAAATGTTTTTTGTCCAGACTTCCGTCGCCATGACAGTAATTGCGTGAAGAGGACTGACGTGAACTTCGACGACATCATATCACTCCTGGGATCTGGAAGTTTACAGCTGATTGATGTGCGGGAACCCAGTGAGCTGGTTCAGCAGGGCGAGTTTCCCACAGCTCTCAATATACCACGTAAGTGTCTGCAGGTTCTAGCGAATACGTCTAGAGAGAGAAATAGATCGGCTCATTGCTTTTCCCAAGCTGAATTGTTCACCAACCTTTATACGAAAGTCAAGTATGAGAATACCTCGAATGTAATGAAGTTGTATGTCGTGGTTCCAAGGTCACTGTTACTATTTATAGAATTTTGTTAACAAATTCAGTGACTCCTCATTAAAAACAATTTTACACCTGCAAGGTCAAGGCAAAGGTCATTGTTACTGTTTATAGAAATTTGTCAAACATTGACACTGATTAACATGGGAGCTGGGTCATTTGCCTTAAACAGGCAGTTTCTAGTTTTATGTGATTGAAAGATTCTTTAAGCAGTGCCCCTCTTANGGGGGGGGGGGGGGGGGGGGGGGAGCAATAGGGTTACCCCCATCCTGTCCCATCCAGATTCAATATTATCGCTCTAGCAAATTCATTTCATTTCCAAGGTCACTGTTACTATTTATAGAATTTTGTTAACAAGTTCAGTGACTCCTCATTAAAAACAATTTTACACTTGCAAGGTCAAGGTCAAGGCAAAGGTCATTGTTACTGTTTATAGAATTTGTCAAACATTAACACTGATTAACATGGGAACTAGGTCATTTGCCTTAACCCTTTCACCACTGTATACCATAATGGACTTGTCCATATCAATGCATGGCAGAGTCTACTAAAGTTACATGGGGGTGAAAGGGTCAAACAGGCAATTTCTAGTTTTATGTGCTTGAAAGATTCTTTAAGCATTGCCCTCTAATGAAAGTGCTGCATCTGACACTGAAAAGGGTACTTTCTTAGTCAAAAGGAATACCAACGGGAAACTTATGTTGAATTTGTGAAATTCCAGTTGGCATTCATATTGACTATAATTGCCAGAATAGAAGCAGTTCAGTATTGATATTAACCATCTTTGGAATGAATTAAGTTACAATTGATGTAAAATATGATTATCAGGTGAATCATCGTAACAGGAGAACTTTCTGCAACTCAAGAACAAGGATTTATTAGGGTATTCACGGTAACAGACACCTGTTGCCACCTTCCTAATGTTAGGAAAATAAACAGCACGTTTATGTACCATTTTACTTGGGTAGAATTGACCGATCCCCTAAATACAATTTTGAGAAGTTTGTTAACTACTTACAGGTATAAGTTCAATCTTATATTTGTAAGTAATCTTAAATTTGTATGGCACATACCTGTACAACCTGCTTTATCAAGAACAAACTTAACCTGGTTACTGGTACATTGTATATATCCTATATTATGTACTACAATATTTGTAGATATTGTATCACATGTACCTGGTACTAAGAGAAAGATTTTTGTCTGTAATAGAGGTACTTTCATTACTAGTGAGACAGGAATTCCTATTTATTTTAATACTGGATAAATATAGTAATAAACAACAATGATATGATCATGATCAACAATTAAGCACTCTTTGAATTAATTTGTGGTTATATATGAGCTGGCAGAATGTTACCCATGTACAAACATGTATCATTATATTACATACAAACGTGAATCATAGAAACGAAATGCTTTCTAGATGAACAGATATTCCATCCCTTAAACTGATAATGATTACGAATCAAAATAAAGAAACTATATCATAATAATCAAAGTGGAAAAAACCCCGTCAAAATCTGTAGTGTGACATCAGAACTATTGAATACTCCTTATTTGAATTTCAAGTTTTGTTAGACAGAAGTATAGGTGGTAGTTCTGACCTACTTCCCTAACAATCCCACTAGTCTGTGTTTACTTTGTAAGTGTAGGTGTATTGCCAAGCCCTTTGTCAACAAAATATTTATATGTATACATGTACCATGTTTGACCGAGTTTATCGGGCTACGCTGAATACGTCAACAAACTCATTACAAATCGACCCAGACACATGATTCCCACAAAGGCACTGAACACATTAACAGATGTACTACATGGCGACGCATATTCTAACAAAGTCTTCAAACTTTACAATATGATGCATCTCATTCCAACAAAAACACTGAACATGAAGTAGAAAAAGCTTTAAATTAGCGAAACATTTTTAGAAAGATTGTTTACAACATTTCAGACTTAAACGGTGCTTATTTGAAATTAGTTAAAAAATGTCAGTATAGGGCGCGCACTAGGCATAAAATCCTTGAGTTGTTGGGGAAAAGCAGAATACAGAATTTCTTTTCCTACCTACCTATACCTTTATATTAAACAGTGACATAGCTGTATGATAATACAAACGTACATGGGTAATAACAACATATGCATCATTTATATATGTGTTACAACGATTTCAGTAGCTCCACAGTCAGCTTTATGGTCATTTTTGGCATTAAACATGTTTTATGGCTGGAAATTGTTGTTCCTTACTTCAGTTTCTTGATACTCTCTAGAGGTCAATTGGTCAGTTCAATAACTAGATTGAACTGACCAATTCAGGTCAGTTCAATTAGTGAGTCATTGGCAACAAATTTGGTAAACAGAATATGTTCTTAATGTCTTAAAAAGTAGGTAAATGTCTTTAAGTTTCAACAGTTTGATAATATTCTTGACAAATTCTTTACAAAGACTTAGTCACTTGTTATTGAGACATTTAATCTGGCTCAGAAGTACTGGGCCCAGATTTCCTTCAAGCTTATTAACTTTTGACCCAAGCACTATACCCAGTCATTAGACCATCCTAAGAAAATAGTTGTTTGCTGTGCATTGACAAACAGTTACACTAAAATCAAAATCCAGAATCTGGACAGTATGTTTTGTTTTTGTTTGTCCTTTAATTTTTAGATAGAAAGAATGAAAGAGTGAAAAAAAGAAGTGATAAAACATGCATATATACATGTACTAAAATAGACCATTTCTGTAGACTATGGCTTTTTGTCAGATTTCCGATTTTATGGAGATTGATTTACTGATTTATCTGGTACATGTTTCATGGTCAGTACACAGTAACCCTATTTTCTCCTAGATAACCTCAGTGGTGTAGTTTGTATGACCTGATGTTAGGCTAAGGCTATCTTAATCTCAATGATCACACGGTGATACAGTGATTATAATCTCAATGATCACACGATGATACAGTGATTATAATGGCAATGATCACACGATGATACAGTGATTATAATGGCAATGATCACACAATGATACAGTGATTATAATGGCAATGATCACACGATGATACAGTGATTATAATCTCAATGATCACACGATGATACAGTGATTAAAATCTCAATGATCACACGATGATACAGTGATTATAATCAATGATCACACGATGATACAGTGATTATAATCTCTATGATCACACGATGATACAGTGATTATAATGTCAATGCTGTAGTCATTCAGATCTCTCTAATCTGAATAAAACTACGTAAAAGTACTTATTCTGTACTTTTGGTATCTGGCCACTGGTTGTGTATACGTATGTCCCATTAAATCTGGCAGGTCATTAAATATGTCAGAGTAGTCAAGGGTACTCATTAATTTCCAGGTAATATACAGATATAACAATTAAATACATGGAAAAGTATATAGTAAGACCCAATGTCTACAAGTAGATGTTCAGTGAAGGATTTCTTAACAGAATTCACTAGTCCGGCCTTATGAGTAATCGAAAATTCAAAAGAAGAGATAACCAGACAATACCAATTGGGAGTCTCAACAAAGTTGTTTTATTTCCATGCTTCGGCCCATGATATTATTATTTTTTGTGGACGACTTCATGAATTTATGGTACATACGGAAACAAGTATCAATCCGCTGAGCCTTTTTTCACAGCGTATATACGCTAATTTATACGCAGTCAGAGTTTACTAAGCTGGAGAAGGGAGACAAGTATAAATAGAGAGGTGACCACAGTGATGATATCTGTACATGTCACTACATATATAGCCAGCTTAGTTCTAGGGCAGTAGGTTACAACCAGACCTGGGTTTGGTGTGGGGTACATCAGCCGAGATAAACTCAAGACAAACTAGTATTTAGCTGATTATCTCTGATATTTATCTCATTTTTGCTTCTTGATCATTTTAACACAACTTATACATATATAATCTGGCTTAATTCAGGTCAAGTACCTTAGTAAGATTCAGATATATTATTTATTTCTGTTGTTATTTTTCAGTCAATAACTTATGTTTGTATGGTTTATTGATAGGCACAACAGCTTTTCCCAATGTCCTCTTTAAATTATACTATTAAACAATTATCTCTACCAGCAAGCACCGATAATATAAATGATTACAGTGCTCCCTGTCCCTAACAACTTGTACGTACCCTTAGCCAACAGTCAATGTTTTTCTTTCACAATAACTTTTGTTCATTATTGATAACCTCCAAAACCTTGTACATTTAGTTAAACATAGCTAATATTCTTGATCATCCAACCCATTAAGTGATAAATCCAAGGTTACGACACCAAGCTATGTTTAGAGTGAAATGTAGTCTTCAAAATTCATGAGTACATATTCTTTGGATCAGAATTTCTCCTGCCCTTCACGAGTATCGCCCATTTATCCAGGAAAGAGCAAACTGTCGCCCACAAGGGGGAGATAGCCTTGTGCAGAATAGCACATACTAAAATGTGACATTATAAAAGGTGCATGGGAATTTTTATAGGCAAAATGATTACTGTTGGCTTAATTGTGATTTAAATAATAGGATGGGAGAGAAAAAAAGTCATACCCGAACTTGAGGGCGTAACAGCAAAATCCCCACCCCTCTGGTTATCTGCATTGGATGTCTTACCCTTGGCAAAGCCTCCGGTATTTACGACAACCCCCCAAAAAAACCTCGAGTTAGGGATTTCTCTGTCACACCCTCAAGGTAGGAGGTCATTTTGGGAAAAGAAGGCACTTTTTAGCTCAAGGTAACAGCCTGTTTATATATATTCTGCTGTAACTGAGCAAAAATATCACTGTACTGATGTTTCCTGTTGTTCCTCCCTCACAGTCAGTTGTCTGAAAGAAACTCTACAGTTAAAAGAAGAGCACTTCACTGAGATGTTCAACACATCCAAACCGCGGCAGCACGACGAAGATATCGTTTTTGTTGGCTTCGGACCAATCAAAAGCAACACAGCCCTGGAAATAGCGCACAAAATGGGATTTAAAAAGTACTGGCAGCTCGTGTATTTGAGCTTAGCTTGTTTTGTATATATCTGTATGTGACCTGGTGTGGTACATATGTACTCGTGATCAATTGATTATGCACAGTGTTAATAGCCAGCACATCTATTTTCTTGACTGTTCATTCTGTAAATTCAGTTTTAAATGCTCTTTCTTTGGGCAAACAAAGGTATTTCGAAGGAAAACTATTATATAGCTATCAAAACATGAACATGGTAATATTTAAATGATTTTTTTTTATTGCAAGGTAATTGAGAACAAAATTAACGCCTTAGTACAGAACATAAGTTAAGAAAATGTGGATGTGAGTTATAAACATTTAGATTTATATGTATGACACACTGTTTATCTGACTTTTCAATGGCAAAAATACTTTATAGAGTGCATCTGTACATGTTTTCCAGTCGTAAGACATTATTAACTCGAGCGTAAAATTGTATAAACTACTGATATTATGTTGTGGTTCCGGAGAAAATATTACGAAAACGGATTTCATACCACAAATTTGTAAAAGATACATTATTATTGGTAAAAATACGATTACAATGCACATAATGTAGTAAGGTTAAATCTTTGCCATTGATTAATATTGACCAGTCAAAGCAGTCATACATGTAAATTGCAATTTGTAGTGATGTAAGAGTTATGTCCCTTACATTAAGTTTAAGGAATTCAGTTGTACACTTACTTTCATATAATGTGGATGTATTTCTGCTAGTACTCTGACCCTCATCCTTCCTACGTCCATATTTAGGTATGTGTACATCCACGGTTCCTTCATCTCGTGTCGGTGTTATGTATAAGCTGCTTGATGGTACAGAATTCACCCCTGAAATTTCATAATGAACTATTCCAAACTTTGAATTAGAAGAGTTCAAATGTGTCTTCAGGGATGAATGACTTCATATACACCATTACAATCATTTATGAGGGTAAGCTGATTTGATTGTTCAAATGAAAATAAAATCTTTACTTTAAAAGTATGACCTGGCTAATTTTCAGTGTTGGCAATTTTTAAAAATTATGGAAAATACATCTAGATTTGAATCATTTAAGTGTCTTGAGTTGTCACTTGAGAAATCTATTAATCTTTAGTACATGTGGATTGAAATTGATTTAGATAATTAACTATTCAATTAAGGTAACTTTTTACATTGAAAAAGCAAAACGTACGTAAAGAACGAGCTTTAAAAGTTTCATATCTACAAATTTTCCTCAGTCTTGAAATTTTGCCAGACTTTGAACGTACGTGAGAATGCCAGGTGGTATTTTGTCACCAGGCAGGTTATAAACATGACACATGAGCTACTTGTATCCTGCCCTTTTGTCTCGCCTCCTTCCTCTTTCTATGGTGTTGCATGTTTGTAGTGGGACAAGTGGGATCGGCCCTCAACATGGCTCCACACACCTTCAAGGCTTTGTACGGCTGTGACAAGCCGGAATTTGATGATGACAACATTGTATTTGCCTGTTTTGCTGGTATACGAAGTGTCGAAGCCATGACTATGGCTCATGAGATTGGTTATTCAAAGTAAGTGTGTTCCAGTTTATTAATCGGAGTTAGTTCAGATGGGCAAGGTCCGTGTCAGCGCGACAATAAATATGTAGCAAAAATAATTTGTTGTAAAAGTTCAGGATTCAGAAATCTGCTAGCCTTATACATTAGGAAGGATATAGATTCTGTTGGTTTTTTACCTGACTTTTACAACAGACTGTTCCTTTATGAATTGGGAAAATATATAGCTTTACTTTTATTGAAATTAGCAATATATTCCACATTCTTAGTCATTTTAGGAAAATAAAGCACTTTTAAGCGAAGGGAAACAGCTGTATTCGGCTGTAAAACTGAGCATAAAAAAATCAGAATGATGAAAATTCCAATAGTCAGACATTTTGGGCTACTAGAAAATTTAAAAGTTGTGGTGGAAATAAAATGTCCGTGTTTCACTGAAGATATACAGAGTAACCTGTCTGAATAAGATAAAACTGGGACTGAATAATTGTCTGGTTTATACAGGGTCTATTTTAAACAGTGTTAGTACCCATGTAAAGATTGTACAGTATCTATATATAACAAAAAAGAATAAATGTCCATGTGAAGGAAGTAAATATAGAAAAAATAAGATTAAGTATATAGCAAAACAACTTGTAGTAAAAGTTCAGGATTCAGAAATATTCAGCACTGATAAAGGATAGAAAATAGAAACAGAAATATTTAGCACTGATAAAGGATAGATAATAGAAACAGAAATACTCAGAACTGATAAAGGATAGAAAATAGAAGCAGAAATATTCAGCACTGATTAAGGATCGAAAATAGTAACAGAAATACTCAGCACTCATAAAGGATAGAAAATAGAATCAGAAATATTTAGCACTGATAAAGGATTGAAAATAGAAACAGAAATATTCATCACCGATAAAGAATCGAAAGTAGGAACAGAAATATTTAGCACTGATAAAGGATTGAAAATAGAAACAGAAATACTCAGAACTGATAAAGGATAGAAAACAGAAACAGAAATATTCAGCAATGATACAGGATAGAAAATAGAACCAGAAATACTCAGCACTGATAAAGTATAGAAAATAGAATCAGAAATATTTAGCACTGATAAAGGATAGAAAACAGAATCAGAAATATTCAGCACTGGTAAAGGATAGAAAATAGAATCTGAAATATTCAGCACTGATAAAGTATAGAAAATAGAATCAGAAATATTTAGCACTGATAAAGGATTGAAAATAGAAACAGAAATACTCCGCACTGATAAAGGATACAAATAGAAACAGAAATATTCCGCACTGATAAAGGATATATAGAAAAAATAAGATTAAGTATATAGCAAACCAACTTGTAGTAAAAGTTCAGGATTCAGAAATATTCAGCACTGATTAAGGATCGAAAATAGTAACAGAAATATTCAGCACTGATTAAGGATCGAAAATAGTAACAGAAATATTCAGAACTGATAAAGGATAGAAAACAGAATCAGAAATATTCAGCACTGGTAAAGGATAGAAAATAGAAGCAGAAATATTCAGCACTGATTAAGGATCGAAAATAGTAACAGAAATATTCAGAACTGATAAAGGATAGAAAATAGAATCAGAAATATTCAGCACTGATTAAGGATCGAAAATAGTAACAGAAATACTAAGCACTGATAAAGGATAGATAATAGAAACAGAAATACTCCGCACTGATAAAGGATAGAAAATAGTAACAGAAATACTAAGCACTGATAAAGGATAGATAATAGAAACAGAAATACTCCGCACTGATAAAGGATAGAAAAGAGGAACAGAAATCTTCAGCACTGATAAAGGATAGGAAATAGAAACAGAAATATTCCGCACTGATAAAGGATAGAAATTAGAAACAGAAAAATTCAGCACTGATAAAGGAAGGAAAATAGAAACAGAAATACTCAGCACTGATGAAGGATAGAAAATAGAAACAAATAATCAGCACTGATAAAGGATAGAAAATAGAACAATGTTGAATAAGGAACAAAACACTTTTTGTAGAGATGATGATGATGATGGAAAGACAGGAACTACCAATGATTATCATAGCAATATTATATAAACAATACTACTTTTCAGAGTAGATAGGGTCTGAATAAAACCGGGTTGATTACTATAATTTGTGCTGGGAACAAATACTAAAAGCTGATGTAGTCAGGAATCTTGATTAGACAGGGGCCAATTAAGACTAGTTCCTAAAGAAGATTTAAGATAAATAGTTGAGGTGCTTGTGCTCATCAGCAACAAAGCATTAACCATCCTTTGTAAGATAGTGAAAACTACTCCGTCTGGCTCATAATAAAGTATCAAGAGCGCAGGATACGTACGGGATATTACGAAGTGTGTGGAGATATGCTCTGGACTCTTCCCTTCTTTGTTAATTAGTTTGTATTGTCTATTAATCAAACACTTCTGTTAACCGTTATCGTTTTATCTAATACAGAAGCTGTTGGTTGTGTGCATTCTTATACATGTAGCTTTTCTTGTAACTCCTTAAGGTTCTAAAATGGAGGAACTTGAGAACTATATATGTATATATAATTATCTGTATATTGTTCATCTTCAGGAGTGTACAATTTTTCTGAATTATATGTTTAATCTTTGGCGTATTGAAAACAAAACTATTTCTGTATTCTTTAATGGATACTATCACCAACTAATTCTTTTCAAAAAATAATGAAGTTAGTTCAAAAATATTTAAATGCAAAGTTGGACGTCTGGGATTTACAATTTCACCGGCCTGATACCTGGGCCTAGTACATTGTATGCCCGGACTAGTTAAGTGGGCTAGTAAATTTTTCAAAATCTGCTGATGAGCAAGTAATCTATTAATTAGGAAATTGTACACTCCTGGATATATCGTTTAGCAAACTGAGATATTTTTACCTTGGTCTTTTGACAAGATGCATGATACTGGATATTTTTCACAAATAATATTCAGCTTTATCATAAGTTTTACTTTGAAAATCTTATCAATTTCAATCATATATATACTATGCTTTTTGGTATGTAGATTGTTTCAAATAATCTTAATCCGTCATATCAATATTAGAGAATGGAAACAATGTACTTTTAAAACAATTTTATGTACTATTTATTGTGTAAATCCAACCTTTTCATATAATGTCTCTTTATTTTAAAGTTTGAAAATATTGATTATTATCAGAATTTCAAGAATAAATGTTGTACTTTAAATTGGAATCTGTCTCTAACAACATTTGTAAAACAAAATGTACAAAATTCCATTGCTGATTTATAAAAAAACTTGTTATTTATTTAGACCCATTTCTTTGTTTCAGAGCTAGACAATATGCAGGAGGATTTAAAGAATGGATGGAAAAGACAGCTGAAGGCGAGATTTGATTTAACTTCAAGATGATAGTGGAACAAAGTCTGGTTAGGTATTTGAATATACAGTGAAACTGTTTATCTGAAAGCTTGAATAGCAAAAAATAATAAGATGGATCAGTGAAACAGGTTATGGGAAGTTCAGAAATCCTCATTATGAACACCAAATAAGAACTTGAAGATTACGAAGCTTCTCTTTATATTCAAACTCATGTACTTGTGTAGAAACCTTGATAAAATATTTGACAGAATCTACATAAATAGATCTACTCAGACTTCGTTTTAAATGATAAATTATCTAGCAAACATTGGATGATGGTCTCTAGATAACTGGGAAGAGTTCTACATTATAAAAGATCCTTTCTGTTGTAATAAACACTTTTCTATCCTAATAACATGCACAATATATACACAATACATACAACAATTGTCTTAATATTCATTGTTTTTTGTGTGGAAAAAGTGTGAGCCAAGAAAATTGTCAATTTTTCAATTATGTTTTCTTCTGTAAAGGCATGGAGATAGAAACACTAGCTTTAAAATGTAGACAATTGATTATAAACTTTAAATGATATATGGCCAAGTCACATATTTACTTATGATTCAATAGTATGCAATATATATCATGTACAATATTTCCTTTATAGTTGCAATTCAGCAGTTTTTGCTCTGTATTTAAAGCCATTTTATTGAATGCATACTGTCTGAACAGTAAAATTCTGATTTTAAATGCATTATTTTATAACAACGGGAAAACAATCTCCAATATCTGCAATACACAGTGTATTAACATTTCACAATTTAAAAAATCATTGAAAAATAACAAGGATATATATGAATATTTCATGTTCTTTTCCTTTCTTTTCGTAAAGAACATGTAAATCTGTGAGGATTTATTCTCTCAGTTGATACAGGATTTATTCTCTCAGTTGATACAGGATTTTCGAGTTCTGTCGGAGAAGTCGGTAACTGTTCAGCGTGAATTGCATTGTTTGTTGATGTTATAGGCTATAGAAGAGTTATTTCCCTTTAACTGTAATGTGTAATGCCTGTGATACAGGGCCTATTCCAGGTATATATTTGATGATGTGTGAGTGATCATGTCCGAAATGATTTTCCACATATATTTTGTGGGACACAGGAAAACAAATATTTTGAATGGTGGGAGCATAAAAGATTGCCTCTCCGCTACCACATGTTAATTTCTGGAATGGCCCTAACACCAAAAATGTAGATGTATGACATAATTTTAGTTACTCATTGTTCGTCAGTGTTCAAAAAGCAGATAGATTATATATAATTAGATATTAAATAAGTATGGTAATTAATTTAATGAAAATTCAACCTTATGCTAACATAAGGACAAAATGGACAAACTTAACTACCTCCCGATAAGTAGCGAACTTCTCTCTCCTCAACACATTGTGTCGAACAAACAACTAGACAAACTTTATTTCCGTTAGATATTTATATTGCTGTGTATTAAATGCTAACATCACTGTCTAAAGTAGAAATCATTTACTTGCTGTGTATTTACTATTTACAATAGCTGTTCTTTGATGTTAGAAAAATTTTGTACATCTTTTTCACTTACAGCTGTTAGAAATATAACATTTTTACACTCTTAAGGCAATTTTGAGTGAAGAACAAATTGTCGTTATTAAAAACTTTTTAGTTATTAGTAATTTTGGTGAAGCTTGACTCCAGTATTTAGTTCTTGGTTTGTCATTATAGGGGATTTAACTATGATATTATGTGTAGATTATAGTTGAAATATTTAAATATGGTATTTTGTAGTGTTAGCCTGTCCAGTAAACTTTCCCATCACTCAACAGATATATTGCAATTATTTTTCATACACATATCATTATACATTCTATTCCATGTTTGTACTACTCTCTATATATATACTGGTTATAATTCCCCAGATTTTCTTCTAGAGAGGGAAAATATAAAGAATATTGAATTTGTTGAGGCTTTATTTTAAGTTTACTAATTCACCCCTGAAACACTTTTGAACTCTTCCAATTCAAAGGATGGAATAGTTCATTTTCAGGGGTGAATGAGTTAAATACATTATCAGTATTATCAATATGTCATAAATTGAATGTCCCAGGTTTGAGTGAGACTTTACTCTTTGCAATATGCTGGACGGTCTAATGATAGTACATGCACGGCTTTGTGCTTCGTGTACTCCGATATTACTTTTGATATTTCATTATCGTTCATATCACACAATCTATGTTTCTCCTGCCAAATTATTTTGTTTTAAGTAGTGCTAGAATCCTCATTGTATGTAAGGAATTGATTATGACATTAACCTCCGAAATTTGAAAATGAACTATTCAAACCTTTGAATTGGAAGAGTTCAAATGTGTCTTCAGGGGTGAATGAGTTAACATACATATATTTTATGAAAATAGGGGACCAATACTAACTTTATAATAATTTTTTTAACAAACCAGATTTTATTTCACGAAAGAGTGACACTCCTTCTCCATCAATACAAGGCAATTTAGTTGAAGTCGTGTTCAAACTTCTTGGTGTGCCGGCTGGCACCTGTCCAGTAGTTTATTGTGATGCTAATGGTAGAAGTTGCTTTAACAGTACAGTATGTTGAAACGCTTGTGTTTTTTTATGCCGGATTGAAGTCACCTAATTATGATGTATGACAATAAATTGGTGCCTAGTAGTGGACAGTAACTCTGACGTTTCCATGGTGATTTGGTGCCTAGTAGTGGAAAGTAACTGACGTTTCCATGGCGATTTGGCGCCAGAAATGTTCTTTGTGCCTATAAATGTATCTAAATATATGTAACAGTCGAAAATGTTTCGTCCATAGATAAACAGTTCACAATGAGATTGCGAGCTTAAGTCGGTAGGTCACAATGAGATTGAGGGCCTTAATTTGGTAGGTCACAAGGAGATTGAGGGCCTTAATTTGGTAGGTCACAAGGAGATTGACGGCCTTAAGTGGGTATTGTTTAATAAAATAAGTTGTTTTATGTGAATTGACTGATCTAATATATATAATTGTCCTTTGGGGGTTTTGTTTGATGGTAGAGCTTACTATCCAATTTTATACTATTGGACTTTTTATTTATTTTCTTGTGTATATGCCCGCCTGGTATAGCTTTGCCAGGACATATACAAATGTCATATATAATCCAATTTGTCAAGTAAACTTCATGTACACTTTATTTTCTTGTTTATAATATCCTGTATAACTGTGCCATGTCAGAAACAAATGTCACATGCAATCCAATTTGTCATTAAACTTCACATAAACTAAGTTCTATTGTCTCGTACTAATCTGTGTTACACACAAGTTCTGGTACAGAAAAATTGTCTCGTTAATCCATTTTGTCAGTAATAGTTTGTAGTTTTAATTGCGTTTTTATAACATAATGGCCAATACTTACTGTATACCAGGAAAGTTACACCCAGTCAAATGTTCGCCCTTAATCTGTAAAGTCCATGTCCGCTCTGTGTTAATTTGATAATTTGACCCCATGACCCCCCACCCCCCATGCGTTATTGCTATATATGGTATGCTGTGTACTGTCATGATAAATTTTCCCTCATTGATACATTCACCCTGAAATTTCATAATGAACTATTCCAACCTTTGAATTGGAAGAGTTCAAATGTTTCTTCAGGGGTGAATGAGTTAAACAGGGCGAAAAAGACAAAAGTTAAACTGCGGCCAACATTTCCTGGTATACAGTATGTGTTGTAGTACTATGACTTGCCCATATAATGATCACCATGTATGATATAATTACTCAGCATTCTGTAATCAAACGAAATATCTTCTACATGTAAACAATCATGTTATTACTGCATTGATATGTTCCAATGTGAGCTGTAGGTGTGTTTTCAAATAAATTTTGTTGATAATAAAAAACCTTTCTGTTGTTTTTGTATATTTCATTCCTTTTTCATACCTTAAAAAATCATAAAATATTCATGTTTAACAAACTGACATTTTTAGCTCACTGGGTCTGAAGGACCAAGATGAGCTTATGCCATACTGTGGCCTTTGTCAACCCTACATCAACAATTTCTTCAAACGACTTTTTCTTCTCAACCACTGACTGGAATTTAAATAAATTTGACAGGAAGCACCCCTAGGTGGTGGGGATTCAAAATTGTACAAATGGTGGGGATAAACCCCCTTGGTGTTGAGGGCGGGGGCAATTTGGCTATATTGCTTTGAGCAGCTTCTTCTCTGGAACTAAGCAATGCATATCAACCATATTTGACTGGTAGCATGCCTAGGTGGTGGGGATTCCAAAATTGACAAATGGTGGGGCTGACCCCCCGGCCCCAGGGTGCTGAGGGGAGGGGCCAAAAAAGTGCAATTTGGCTCGATTGCTTAAAGCGATTCCTCTCTGAAACTAAGGGAGGTAAATCAAACATATTTGACTGGTGGATAACAAATGTACAAATGGACAGGCTTGACCCCGGGATAAGGGGTTGGGCCAACAAAGTGTATAACTTGGAACACTTTGAGATCCAAACCCTGTAACTAAATATACAATTGCTGAGTTTAAAGAGATGAGAGCACATATGCTTCCAGGATGGCCCTGGGGTCTGACCCAACTCTTAGAGACCTAATCCCTGGGTCATAACTTTGAAACGGTTGAGATCCCAACCCCAAAACGCTAGGCATAAAGAGACAAACCGGTCATGATATTAAAATCTGCCCCACCCTTGCAGACTAAACCCCTGGGTCGTAACTTTGAAACAGTTGAGATCCCCACCCCAAAACTATAAATACAATTGGAGGGCATGAAGTAATGAACACAATCATGATATTAGCATTGACTCTTTGGTCTGGCCATAACCCTAGGGACATAGTTTCTGAGTCACATCTTGGAAACAGCTGAGATCCCCACCCCATAACAAAACGATTACAGATATGCTACAAGGATTGGCCTGGGGGTCTGGCCCATTCCCTGAGATATCCAGGTGAGCGTTCGAATTGTCTGGCGCAAAGTGGCTGATCCTGTCCCATTTAGCTTAGGCTCCGCTCCGTCTGTTTGTTGTCAAGTTTTAAATGACTTCTTCTAAAGAACCACACGGCCTAGTGTCATGTTACTTTATAGCTTGATTAATAAATGACCAACACTCATAAGTTTAGACACTTCAAACAACCTCTATTGATTCAAATTGCTAGTGTACATGTATAATGTACATCGAAGGGCTTTTTGACGTGGCTTTCAAGATTCAAGTGCTGTTCAAATAATATATTGAACGACTGTTATGGCCTCTAGAACGGACGTCACTATCAGTTTAGCTATAAATGTATTACGACTACACTTAATAACAGATGAGGGATACAATTCCCGTGGGTTTTCGCCGGTTAAGAGAGAGAGAGAGAGAGTTCCCGCACTTTGCTGTATATATGTCAAAGCTATACGATGGACCACGATGAAAAACTCTGACATTAAGAAACATCAACACTAAATGGGAAGTTTTACGTTAAGTTTATATCTGGTTCGGGACTATTCAAGTCCTCTATACCAGACCCATAAATAAACACATTTGTCAAATACTTCTATCCGGACATATACATGTATGTAAATGTCTATAATTTGACTGTTGCTTTGTAATTGAAGAAAAGTTCTTGATTTTCCCAGTGATTGTCTAACTGATTGTTTCAAAAATAACGTTTAGTGCTGATACGACATGTTCTGGCAGTTCATTCGGTATTGTTACTGTTCTGATTGTAAAATAGGTGTTTTTTTCTGAGCATATTTATTGATCTCTTCGGGAACATTTTTTGGTGTGTCCATTGCCACTGTGGCGACCAGCGGCAATTGAAACATTCATTATCATACATTTGACATATGATTTTGTTCAGTTCTATCATATCTCCCCTAATTCTCCTGAAAATCAGTGTTGGTAGCTTTAGTTTCTCCAACTTCTCCCTGTATAGGTCAGGTCCTTCATTCCTGGGAGGCATTAAGTTGCTCTTCTTTGAACTTCCTCTATCTTGTCTGTGTGTTTTTGTAGGTGTGGTGCCCACACAGGACTAGCATATAGTCCAGCTGCGATCTAATGACTTGATGTCCATGAAGGATAGAGTTTGCTTTTTTAACTCTTTTTTTTTCTGAGATGTGTTCCTCAAATGATAGATCAGAGTATATAATTACTCCTATATCCTTTTCTTGATTGGATCTCTGCATGTATTTCCCATTGGGATGGTAGGCTGGTCCAACCTCATTTTGCCCTCTGCTTCTGTCCTTGCCTATTCTCATATGTTTACACTTGGTTGGATGCATCTTAAGAAGCCACTTACACATTGTTTCAAGATCTTTCTGAAGCTCGACACTGTCCTGTTTGTTTTTATTATTTTAAATATTTTATTGTCGTCTGCAAAAAGGTACACATACCTCCTGGGAGGTAATTCACAAAAATTACAAACTAGCACGGAGCCTTGAGGGATTCCTGATGAAACTTTAGCCCATTCGGAATCTGCACCGTTTATAGATACTTTCTGTTGTCGACCTATCAGGAATGTTGATATCCAAGAGGTTATTTGATTGGAGAAGTTATGTGTAATTCATTGAGGACTCCTATTGGTTGGAACTGAATTGAAAGCTTTTTGGTAGTCCATGTAAATACAGTCTTATAACATGCCCTTTATCCGGGGCTTCTGTCCATTTATCGAAGACTTCTAATAGTTGTAAACATGTTGATCTTCCAGATATGAAACCATACTGCTTGTCCGAATGAAATATTTGTTATTTCTCATGAATTTTGTTATATGTCCCTTACTATGGACTCTATAACTTTACATACCACTGACGTTAAACTAACTGGCCTGTAGTTACCCGCTTCACTCAAACACGTGTTTTTTTCCAATCGTCTGGTAGTGGTTCCTGTTGATAGCGATTGGTTGAAGATTTTTGTTAAAAGATCTGATATTGACGAAGCAGTATTTTTGAGAAACATTTAACTGTGTTGAAAATTGTTCCTGAAAGATTGAATCCTCATATACGAGGGTTTTTTTTCAAGACTACATGTACACAGTGAGGTGCTCACACATCCCGTGTGGTACAACTGAACTAAATATCTGTTTGTGTTTTACGTCCTATTAACGTTAAGTGGTAGCAGTAGTATCTGCTGTAAGTAACGATGCTTTAATGACAGTATACATCTGTTGTATTGGGTTCGTATTTATTGTACTGAACTGATCATGATGAGCTTAAAGCTCAAGGTCAATACAGAATTCAATTGTGATATATAACGAATACTGACTACCAGCGTTTGGCTCGGTAATACACGTGTCAGAAGTTTTTCTCGAGTTCGGTTCCTCAACATGAAACTCAATAACATAGGGTTGACTAACAGGCGTTCTTTGGCTTGGCTTGGAGTCAAATCGTCGATGTAGGTTTCCTTATGTCTGTACTGTGTGATATAAGCGTGCATTGTATATATACACTACGGTCTACAACCCACGTTGGCCATTTTTACAAGGTGAAGGACGTCGAGCTTGGTCCCAGTTTCATTGGCCATGAAAACTGTATTTTCCTTTACTTTGAATTATAGATATTTTCTTCCAAGAAAACCATTGCTATTGACCTTACTCAGAACACCATTTATACCGAGCTGTAATTAAGAGTATTATTTCATCGCTAGGTTCATCAATATTTGATATTTACCTACATGCATTACTGTTACATGTAGGAGGAGGACGTAAACGTGATTTTATCTATGTTAAAAAATACTTCAGGGTCAGACATTGTTAGAATATAGATAAAGATGTACTTAAGACACTACACTACACTGACTACAGCTAGGTACTCTAGACATACCAAATGGACTTAGCAAGGACATAACAAAACAACTGTCAGCAATATCCCCCAGAATGCAGTACGATCCTCTTGTTCCTGAATTGCTTGCAAAGCGCACCGTTCGCCACTAACGTTTGCGAGCGCTCACGAGCAATCGCGAACACGATCAGAGGATCTTGCCAACAGATGACCAAGACGATGGGTGGCGTTTGTGGAGTGGCATTTCCCAATTTTTAAGGTATTACTTCAAGAATAACCACATATGCACGAACATAACTAAACTAGGAAAAATGAGAAGAATAAAATAAATTTCTTTCACAATGGATTTCCACTTTTTTTGTGTGTGTCCTACAAACAGGTTTAATACGCCCTCATCTTTGGAAACATTTTTGTGTTCGGTCCTCGGTCGTTTCGGTTCCCAATGCATTTCTGACGTACGCCTTCCAAAAATGTACCGCACAGTCATTCCTGTACAGTGGACTTCCTGAGAAGGCTGTGAACTAGACTACCAAGTTATATAGTGTTGGGAACCCGGAAAGATTTTATTGCAACAGCAGTACACATTCTAAAGGAAGTACTAAAAGTAGGTCATAGATAGCAACCGACCGATCTACTGATTCTATCAGACAGTGGCGCTGTTCTAACAGACCAGTGTGATCCCGGGAAATCTTGCCAGACTCTGGACCAGCTAGCTGATCAATCATTTACTGGCCGAGTTATTGAAAATACTCAAAGTTACCGTGAAAATATAGTCTTATAAGGACACGAATGCAAATTCTGAAAAATAAAATGTGTCAATACCTTAAATACACTTATCAAATGCAGAATGTTCAGAGTAAAGCATTTTATCTTAACTCATTTTATAGCCGTTATGTTGACTCTGTACGTAATTTTAAGCGTCTGACAGGTTCGGAGAAAGTATTGGTTACGTTTGTTTGGTATTTACGTCCTGTTAACAGCTATGGTAATTAAGGATGAGCCAGGTTTCCATGGTGGTCGAGGAATACCGGAGTACCAGTAGAAAACCTGTGATACCTGGAGACTTTCCCAAGTAGAACCCGCGACCAAGTGGTCATAGACGGTCGGACGCGTTAACCATACAGCCACCACAGCGAAGTGTCGGACACTAAGCTCTATCCTAGTTCAATGTTAGTGGGTACCGGATTAAATAAACAACTTGTTTCCAATTGTTTTGTGGAACTTTGTTTTTAATAAATTAATGCGGAACAAATTTGCACAAATATGTAGCGTAAGTACAGGAATTTACCACAACGTAACGGTATTGAACTTGACAGAAATGTTGCGATTGATTTCAAATATTTTTAATTGTCTTCTTAACGATTAACTCAATTGGCGCGTGTATAAATATCTTTCTCCGCTTAGTCAAGTTAACGGAACAATTAAGCCTCGCGGTTGATAATTCAATTGAAACTATTGTACTAATCTCAAAGCATAGTCTACAACAAACACAGTAAACATTCATCAATGGTACACAATGGCTCTGAAAATCTATATGTTTAGAAATATTATTAGTAACTAATACACTTCCTGCGGCCTTCGCTATTCGGCAGACAAACCACATCAACAACCGTGCATAGCTACATTGTACACATTGACCGAGTCCTGTTTCCCTCGGCGATAGAAACATACAAACACTGGGGTTAAAGACTGCCATTTTATGACCGATTTTTAACTTTCCTGTATAACTACGCCGTGTGGGTTTTACGTTTAGACAAAGTAAAGTTGCTACTTATGCCCTGGGAATATTTTATGATTTAAACATCAAAACCAATGTAAATATCAATGTGAAGAAAGTATAACACATTACTATTTCTGATTTCATATACCATAATTTGACGTTAAAACGCCGTTATATAACATGAAATTCAACGTTGACATAAGGCGTTTTGATGCATACATATCGCAATTATGGCGTTTACACTTCGCGATTTGTATGTTTACACATCGCGATTATGGTGTTTACACCTCGCGATTTTGATGTTAACACATCGCGATTATGGTGATTACACATCGCGATAGTGGTGTTTACACATCGCGATTTTTGATGTTTACACATCACAATTATGGTGTTTACACATCGCAATTTTGATGTTAACACATCGCAATTTTGATGTTAACACATCGCGATTTTGATGTTAACACATCGCGATTTTGATATTTACACATAGCAGCTTTCAGTTTTGATGTTAAAATCACAATTTTGATGCTTACACATTGCGATTTTGATGTTTACACATGGTACTTTTGATGTTTACATATAGCAGTTTTAATTTCTGAAATCAGATAGACGTCCGAAACAGCTGTTACTTTAATTCCTCTCGCGAGATTTCGGCCCACTCAACAAGGATTCCGTTGCAGATCACAATGACGGTCAGATTAAATAGCGGTAGACGGCTAACGATCTGTAGGTTGTATCATAATAACTGTGTGAAAATAAAAACTCCTTTAATATTTTAATCCTGTGTTATTTGTTGACGAAGTGGCCACGTGACTGCTTCCTTATCTTTCCGTGTAGACATGTACTGTGATAGTACGTCACCTGCTAAGGCATTTAGGATGAGATTAACGTGGATTTTACTTACAATTGGAAAAAATCGTAAACAAGACTGCGTATTACATCACAGGTTCAAAACAGATGTCGCCGTTACTGATCCCTCAACAAGTAAACAAGTAAGGCTTTAGCTTAGTCGGGGCTTTATTGTAACCGTGATCGTTATTTCAACGTTTAATCACACGTACGCCTTTTCTGACATACAGATGTACACTTACCATTGAACAAACCATTTACTATACTTGTATAGATATTAAACTTTAGGTAGTTTACAACAATTATGAAACAAGGTTTCAAACTTGTATTAATCACTCTTGTTGGCCCGGATGGAAGAGCGCAAATGGTCGTTATATGGGAGGAAACCGGAGTACCCGAAGAAAACCCATGTGGTCGGGTAGAACCCCGGTCGTCTTGGTGAAAGGCATATGCGCTATCCACTGCGCCACCCGACCATCAAAACTAACCAACAATTGTTATAACCAAGTCGACTTCCTCTAATTTCGGCATGCGTAATGCTTTTGAAAATACTTATTGTGCAAAACCGTTGTCGATATGTAATATTAAGCTTGATTTTTTTTAGTATTATGATGAATATAATCATAATTCAATATACTTTTAACAAATTGAGACCTTTTTTTTTTGTACTATTGTACATGTTTTCAAATACCTTAATTGTTTTGACGGTATTGACATGCACACAATTAATATAAAAAAACTATCTGTACTAGCCAGTTGTAAGTCTGTTCGACAGACCAAAACGAGTTGTTATAATGCTAACCAAGGTCATTTAAAGACCACAGAAATTTGGACAAGCTTCGCTGTTTTGATCTTAATCCAAATCTTAAATACTTTGTTTTTCTTATCATAAACTTTTTTGTTAAATTCTGCATGGATGTACAGCTAAAATATAAAGTACGAGATCGTTATATATGAATTTTGTTTAATATGTAATCTATAATATATTACGTACATGCATATAATAATCAAACGAAAATAACGTTCCTACACATGCTTTGTTATAAATAAACAACAAAAAGTACACGTGCTTTCTGATACACATTAAACAACACATTGCACGTGAGTTGTTATACGTATGAAACAATACATAACACGTGTTTTGTTAACATTGTTATTTTGCGTATGAAACAATACTTTGTTATCTCGAGATCGATACGAAACATTCCAGATTTTCTCTAAGAAATGCACTGAAATATTTGTCAGTTGTGAACAATAAATAATACAAAAAAGTAGGAAGATGATTTTGTATGTTTGAATTGAAGATATTTTTGGCGTATTCACAAAGTATTCGAAATATTAAGTTACAATATTACATACATTGTGGGTTTCCAGTCGGTACCAGAATTGAAAACCACTTCGTGTTAAATTGCGTTTCGACTCTCTACAGCTGCTGTGATAACTAGATTAACCCTTTCATCACTGTTGACTTTAACAGACTCATCCAGATCAATGCATGGAAGAGTTTACTAAAGTAACATTGGGGTGAAAGGGTTAACTGTGTCACGAAGTCCCTTATATGTCGCTGCCGCTTCCATCTCACATGCCTGTACATATCACTAACTCCTACTTATATCCTCCATATGGGACTGTATCATTATGCTAACCATACATTGTAATCATGTAAATGTAAAAGTTATAATACCATAGGGACAGACTTTAAAAGATTGAATAGTCCCCCTGATTTCTCCCATTTATTTCACATACATATTTATATCACACTTGACAATCTATTTGGACTAAACTGCTCTTTGAGGTCTTATTTTGGTTTTAATTCATTACAACAAAACATAACATGTATGTTCGGGTTTCTCGGTTTCTTTTCTTTTTACCACCGTTCGGAACATTTCGTCTTTATACGTGAGTTTGGCATCATTTGTTTGTGAATAATTTCAGTTTTGTTTTAAATCATCCTACCTGATATTTTTAATTTAGTGAATTGGTGAGTAAAATGACGAAGAAGTATTACTTAGTTTATTTATCCCATTCACACTATCACAACCAAAGATGGAGAGGATATTCGAGGCGTTCTTTTGTGTTTCTCATAAAGGTGCACAACGTTGCTTTCGGCACTCTTATAACGACCCAATGGTTGTCACTATTGTAAGTATGGATTAAAGTTCCTTATTACAAGAGACACCATATTTCAAAACGATTGAACCAGTGAATGTTGACGTAAAAGAGAAAGGACATCTTATTATCGCCGACACGAATGACGTCAAAGACTCTCCCTGTTTCTTCCAATGTCGAAACTGTTTTGGTTTGAAACTAGACACAACCTCTTTCCACTTGGAATGCTGGGTAATCTCATTCTGTTACCAAATATTGGAGATTCTGGTTGATATGAGACAGCAAGCTTTTCTTCGTGTGATATTGGGGTCAAAGTTCGCTTTATCCGCCTAGGACTGTCTGTCCATGGACTATCGTTGGAGGAATGGACTCTGTCATGCTTTAAACCTTGCCAATGGTCTATGCCGCTATTTTCGTACGACAAATTCTGTCGAGACCGATTGGGAACGGGTGTTGCATTTCGGGAAGCGTATCCGTCACGTGGTGAAAGTCCGGGAACCTGAAGCTTTGGGGTAAGCAACAAATTACCTTTCTGTGACATCACAGAAGCTTCACGTCCCAAAATTAAGTTCAGACCTTTTTTGTCCCGAATATTGTTCGAATTGCGGCCGCCAACACAATCTGTCGTCAACACCTTACAACAGTCAAATAACTGGAGTTTCACAGCAAGTTCAAGGGCGGTAATTCCGTTTTTATTTTTTATGTTCAAATCCACTACAGATTTCGTCGCAGATGAATTTAACAAAATTTTCAGACCTTGGGAATTTGACGCAGCCACCGCGTGCATTGCTGCTGTATATCCCTCAGAGTCTTGGAGATTGGGGTTACACAGTTTATTCCTGGCGATCAGTCTCACGACATCCACACGGTCTACCTCCATGCATGCGTATATCAGTGCCGTACATCCACTACTGTCCTGTGCGTTGATGTAACAGTTACTGCGCAACAACAAACGCACCACGTGCGTTCTGACGTCATCAATGTCACAACAGACTGCGTACATCAAGGGCGTCCTTCCTTCATCGTCTCTCACATCGACGTCGACGGTTTGGTCCAGGAGGGAACTGATTTGCCGCGCTTTTCCTGATAGGATTGCGTTAAGAAGACGACTTCCGGTGTTGTCTAGGTCATGCGCCATTTTTGTTACGTAAAGAAATGTTTCCAATTCCGTTTCGTGTTTAGTGGTTAAGAAAAAGCACGAAAGTCTTCATAATTTGGAAAATTTGACATCTTACGCCAGGAACTTGATTCTCACATCTGAAAAATACAATAAGCTCCGCATTAAAACCAGTTTGGTCTCTGTGTAACATATAGATAGATAATTATGTAATTATTCAGTAATAAAATGTGTGTAATGCTTAAAGGTAAGCTTTTGGTGCATTATATAAAATATACTGAAAGTTTACCTTCACAAACTAAATCTTGTACGACTCCCAACAATCGATTTATATTAAGCCACACTGGAGGAAAATCCCAACCGGATTTATCGTAGCCTTGATGTCAAGACGATACAGGTTTTAGCTTATTATCCCGAATGACGTCATTAACTGTAGTTCCGGGTTTCCAGCTAATAGAAATTAGCGGAAAGAATGAAAATAGACACAAAAGTATTCATTGTAACAGTTTTTCTGAGAGAAAAATAATCAAATATTTTCTCTCCAAATCTTTTTTTATACGAATCACAGTTGAACAAAATCACACATTTCTTCTTACTTTGTCCTTAAATCCTAAAGCGTAACTTGTTTGTGAAGATAACTTGTCAAGTACACCCGTCCTGTTAGGACGCTTATTGATACAAAACAACACGTAGAACGCATATTAGGGTATATCATAATGTACACACACGCACAAGTACACGTGTATATACGACCTCCGGACACACCCGGGACTATACAAACCCGGGACTAAACTAAACACCCAATTACTCATAGCTCTATTGAAATATATCCAGTTATCTTTTCTGTAAAATTAATATCTATATTGACCCTTTCAGTGCATAGGTCAAGCTTGACTGTTCCGTATCGCTTGCTCACAACCAAATCCATCGGCAGACCTTCACGGGGGTGTTAAGTTACTGCAATGTCCTGTCGCTCTAATCCATCCTTAACAAACTTAACAGAAAATCTAATGATAAGTTTTATCAAATATTACTTCTTTCCAAAAAAATCATACGATCAACCTACACAAACAGAAATTAAAAATGTTGCAACAAAAGTTTTTATTGATCGGAAAATATTGCTGCTTTTACGGTAATACGCTACTTAAGTTTGACAGTTATTGCCTACTAAACAAGGGGAGATTACTATCTGTGATCTGTCAAATCGGACAATAGACCAGAAACAATAGCTACATAGTTAAATGTACGAGTCATTAAAGTTAATTGATTTATGATGTTGTTATTTACATATCAATTGAAGGCTTGTAGGATTAACTCGATTCAACATTTTTTTAAACTATGGGTCATTGAAAAATTATCTCGTATTTGAAATAATGTATTTTTGGGTTTCATTGCTTCATTACAATACCTTGTAGCATAATGGCCATTTTGTTTTGTTTACCTGAATCCAAAGTGTTCCGGTAAGGGAAAAAGGAAAAACTTATTGATGATGAACAACCGAAGGATTTTGGCACACGTTTTCAAACTTCCTAGGCCGTCCTCCTGACATTTGTATGAGTCTAATTTTCGTTAGAAGGCCGAGATCTTCCGGTGGAATAGAGTAAGTAGAACACATAGTTGACGTGAACATTTTAGGATTAAATACGACATACATCATTTCAAACAAATAAGAGTATACTACCATACATAAACGACTAAAAGACAGATTGAGTCCGTATTTAACAGTTGGCTTTGTTAGACACAAAACATGTTGACATGTTGGCTATATATGTTTTTTATATCAGCATATCAGAGGATTTCAAACGTCTTCGTGAATATTTTGACAGAAGATTTCTGAGGACTTATAAAAAGCCTTGTATAGATAAAAAGAAATCTAAAAAAATCCTGGTTCTATTTGTTGACGCTATAAATGGAAAGTGTGTCTACGTTTATCTGGTAAAGCGTATGTTGACAAGTCACATTGGTTTATTTCATTTACAATCAATACGAACACTTTGTACATGCCATTATAAAGGCAGGCTGTCATGATATTACAAATAAAGCTACGCGCCAAGGTCGTGACTTCAGAATTATGATAAAGTGTCCCAATAGCGATCCTGTCTTGAAAAAGCTCCAAACATTTCAATAAATGGAGAGCTGACTGTATGACGTGAACAAATACCCGAGTCATGCTAACGTAGTGGCACACGTTGAGCACGGTCGGAACGATACGCCGGGGAGTTCTCGTCAGTGTCATAATCTAGACTTATATTGATTACAAAGTTTACAAGAAGTGTTTTGAACGTTAACTTATTCACCCCTGAAATTTGATAATGAACTATTGCAACCTTTGAATTGGAAGAGTTCACATGTGTCTTCATGGGTGAATGAGTTAATGTAGAACGTTGTATCGACCATTACTGTGCTATTCTCCGACTACACTATAGGCATCATCATACAACTGCGAAAAAACAAACAATGAGTTGGAAAGCAGTTTATTTTCGACATGACAATAGCTTTCATAAACTATTTCTGATACTTTGCGGAATTTGTATAGCAAAAATAGATATGAAGCAAAAATATCAACAACAGTGTTTTGTGAATAAAATCAGGAAATGGTCCTAACCGGATGTGAACTCTCGACCTCTGCTGTAAATACTAACGTTCAAATCGGGAACCGTCGGCACTTTCCGTAAACGAGTATTTTCTCGCGTACGGAAAATACCGACGGTCCCCGATTGACTATTGCTCTAACCAACGGAGTACCTTATCGGCGGTCAGTCCTACTGCCATTGTATCCAAAGTGAGGTTCGGGGAGGACATTCTGTGTATAAAAAAACTTATGTGGAATTCTCTAGAATTTTGTCTGCAGCAAGCGGGGCAAGGATTCTTAAATAATTCATGTTTTTCTGCATCTGAAAACATCAGGGTTCGTCTCCCTGAACAAACTAAAATGGACAAATCTGATTTTTCTTGAAAAGTTGTAAAATCACATATCTTGCGTTATATATTTTGTTTTCGCAATATTTTGCGAAAAGATTCGCGAATTCAAAGATTCTACGAACATATAGATACATTCAATGTTTGTATTTAATATGTCTTTTCTTCTGAACTGCTGATTTTTTTTTATCGCCAAAATATAATATATTTCCAGTAAAAAGTATATTAGTAAATTACCCTCCCTCCAAAAACAGGGTAAGGTATAGAACGGCTGACAAGGAAGTGCAGTATATATATACACAGGTAGGGCAGACAATACCTAATACAATCGATTGTCCCGCGAACAAGGACTAATCCTCTAAATAATTTATCCCAGGCAAACACGTTTTAGCACAGGGTCAGGGATTCAGTCGATTTATGTTACACAGCGGAATTGAGCGTTAAGTGCCAGAATACCGAATAGGCACTGAGGGAGGGAAGTCGTAAAAGGAGAAACTAGATAAGGAAAAGAAAAAAAGTTAAACCGATATTGTATAGCAGGTGCTCGTTAATAAAAATAAACGATAACATTAGAGTCTCGTTAAATCAGTACACAAATCCTAAACTGTTATCTACAAACCGCGTGAATATGTCACAGAACATCAAATTGGTAAAAATCACAAGATATGATGAAAGTTAAAAACGCGCCAGGCATTTAGAAACGGGAAAAGGGGACATTTACAAATGATTTTCTTATAAGAGTAAGATAATCGAAAAGCATTTCGTCAAATAGCTCGAGATACAATAAAAACAATACCATCAAGCTGAAAAAAACTTGAAAAAAACCCAAGTCCCACTTGAAAGTTTGAAGGAGTTAATGACTGGAAATACAGATCAGATTTAACGTCAAAGTTTGAATTTTCAAGGTCACCCTGTTCTCGATTTGCTGTTTTGAGGTCAATATGCTCAGACCTAATTGTCAATCTGTGTCGGTTTAGGACGAGAGCATGTTGGTTATGTAAGCCCGGTACAATATTCTCTGTATTACCGACCTATAGATCGTTCTATTGATAGACTGGGTCGCTATATACTGTAGTTTGGCCCGTCGGTAATTAGTATAGGCTCGTGTTAATTACTTCGTCGATTGCGTACTAGGACACTGACATACACGTCAAACTCGGATACTCCATTGCGAAGTAAACTTTTCAGTCAGTTTTTTTATGTCCAGAAATGATCGGTAGATTTGTGTACAATATTTGAGAGTATCATTTTGAATACCCCGAGGCCGTGTACAAATTTATTTTTGCTTTTATGTTATGATATTATCAGCGATTTAAATGTTATGTCATAAACCAATCAAAGTTTGACGAGTGGACCCTGCCCTAAATATGGTAACTATGTGATGATTATTCTGATAAAGATAATTGTATTAGCCGACATAAGGTTTTGAGGTGAAATATTTCAACTTTCAATGTATGTCAGAGGTAGATAATCTACCTTTGATAGTATTTGTCGTCTTGAAATGCTTTGATATTAAATGGAAAGTTACAGCCGTCAGCACAAAAACATTATGTTACTATACTAACAGACGCGATGATTCGAGCGTCTAACACACTTTTTTGGAATAGGAAGATGATGGGAGGTTGTTTTCACCTTGACTCTGTAGGGACCAAAGCAATTTGCAACAAGATATATCTTGCTATGAAACTAAAAAAATGTCACAAAAGCCAAATAAAGTTTCAAGACTTTTGTTTTTCATTCTCATATTTTCTTCACACACACTTATACAGAATATGAATCTGGTATATTTTTTTTATTTCTGGAGGCCGGATTATTTGTTTCAAAGACGAATAATACATGAGTATGTATATATATATATGTTCTCCAATATGCCCTCCCCTTCCCCGGTTTCAAACTGTGCTATTTAATATGGATGCCACATACATTTAGCTTTGGGGGGAAATAACTTGCCACCAATGATCTGACGAGGCGACCAGTGTGTGGATACGAGGCGACTGACGTTGGGTGAGTAGGTCACATTTCCCCCATTGATTATGAGGCGACTAATGTGAGATAAAAGGAGACTATATGACTTATGAGTCAATAAATATTAGGATAATATTAATAATTATGATAATAATTCGAGGTTCTTATCGTTACCGTTCTTACCGTTTTATCGCAACCTAGTTCGTAGGTCATCTCAAAGCGGTTCACAAATTATTATCCGTGGTTATAGGGCCTTTGCAACCAGCCAATATCTTTCTCAACTCCCTGGGCAGCTTATATTTCGGCGCTCACAGCGAGCATTCAACAGTTCTAGCACTGCTCAATCACGTACTCATTTACAGCTGAGCAGACTGGAGCAAGCGGAGTATCTTGCTCAAAGATACAACACAGTGCCCTACCGGGACTCGAACCCACAACCCTTCGGTCACGAGCCCAGCGTCCTGCCACTAGACTACTGTGCCTCCATATATAAATATAGCATATGAAGTGATACAAGGGACAGTAGGAAATGACATAGGTTTAGCAATGGAGCGACTAGTACTTAGTGTGACACGAGGCAACTTATGTATGGCTTTGAGGCGACTAATGTGACACTTGAAACATGCAATGTGAAGCTCTTGAAGAAGATTGAAATTTCTTCAGTGTTTTCTCCCTGCTTGAAACTGAAGATACTGGAATTGAACTGCTACCAGCTGGGATCTCTGGTACTCCAAATTACCCGGACGGAATTCTGTATAAACACCGGAATAGGATCCATATTTACATAACGTCTATATTTGATAAGTGTCAGATAGCTTTTCTGTGTACACTGTGCATACATAATGGTCAACAAAACGGGCCCTGATGACACGAACGGTCCTTCAGTTAACATCTGTCATTAAAATAATGATAATCTTTTATGTGGAGAAATGAAACTTAAGGAACAAATCTTAATTTAGATGTTTCGTGAAAACAGTAAATCTAAACCGAACACGGGAAAGATAGATAGGAGGCGTCTAACAAAAGAGAAAGTGAGCGTCAACTCATTATTACCCTCCGTCTATGCGATATATTCTATTTAATGTAATTATTAATACCTCCATGTGAACACAGCTGCTGGGAGGCCGTAAACGCGAAACAAACTTAGTATTATGATACATAATGGAGAATGTAGGTGTTAACGTATTATTCAGCTTTCCTGACAAAGATAAAAATATGAACAATTGATTCTTTGAAAATTTAGTTAATTTTTCATGTTTCTGACATTAGCTCATGTGATCGTATAGGAATACTGACTAACCCGAATACTCTAATCTTATCAGATTGTAGTAATTTGAAGTTAAAACAATAGTATACTTGAAGTCTCACCCAGGATCTATCTCACAACAAAACAGTTACGCACTAGATACATGCATATACCTATAGTCAGATTTAAGCAATGTTTTTTTCTGAAATTCATAGTCTGGTTGTAGAATAGAAAATAGAATTTACATACCTTTTATATAGCTTTACTCATCAACATGATATTTTTCACTACTGAGATACAGGGTATATCCAAATTCTGCGTATTATGATCCATACAATTCCGATATAGCCACATAGTATCCTATTGGACCCCTCCAATACACGTGTGTACACTGGGCCGCTCTCTGATACGTAACTGGCTTGGCTCCAGACTTAGCCCAACTAATACTCACACCGCGTTAATTGTTTACGTTCCGTAGATCATGCTAGTCAATACAAAATACGAAACCTCGAGTATACACAGACGTTTTTTCTCATTTAGACCAGAAAAAGAAGAATGCACAGCGTTAAATTAAGTTATTCGTGGAACTATCCTGAACAATACCAACGCCATCTTCCAGACCCTTTGTCGTTTCGTGTATACAAATACAGTATTAAATATCTTTACTTAGACATGCACTTTTGAATTAAGTTAATGTTTATTCAAGATCACGTGTTGATTAATTTATCGAAATTGCCAACTGTACATTTAAGTAATATTGACAGATGTGTGAGACCGTCTAGTTATACCTATGTTGGGGTAAAGAATAAAGACCGATCTTATTGTACGTACAATACCGGTACTTAAGGGATCATACAACTATATATTCCAGTAGCAATAATTGTAAAAGGAATAAACATGGATGTAAATTGAAGTTATAACAAACACTCAGTTCAAGACGACAGTGTGGCAGCGGGGAGACAAGAATATGGGAAAATGCCAACTAAATTATGCCAGTTTTGTCCTGCCAATCATACCTATTAAAAACTATTATGACAACAAAAGAAACGCACCATAAAACTGAAATAGAGGGACTGCTAACTACTTCAACTTAATGGGAGTTACTTCACAATTCATTGTAGAATATAAGCTACAAACTTTGATACGTTATGGGTTTACACAACAAACAAGTTTTGAGAATCATCTTCTTCATTCTACACTACATTCCGTTAAAGAAGCAAACCCATCGTTGTTTCCAATGACGCTCGGCAGCACGTGGTCTCAAACATGTCAACTCAAGATCCTGCTCGTTAAGACCTTATAGTATATTACCTACATCAAGTGAATCTCGTTAAATAGAACATTACTTAAAGACGTATGCTACATTTCATATTATATGTTTGTTAGAGTTATCTCCCCTATTTAGATAATCTGATAAATAAATGCACGCCTATCGAGGACCTTACGGTACCTGACGTATTGATGTTATGTTACCTACATCAAAGTGATTCTCGTTAAATAGAACATTACTTAAAGACGTATGCTACATTTCATATTATATGTTTGTTAGAGTTATCTCCCCTATTTAGATAATCTGATAACTAAATGCACGCCTATCGAGCACCTTACAGTACCTGATGTATTAATGTTATGTAGAATGTAGGAACAGTATGTTTCACTTCATTACAGACCGACGACCTCGCCTTACTCGTGCTTCTTTACCACCAGGGGGTGCTCCTGTAGCCTTGTCATAAATTATAGCCAAGTCCTAACTATCTTGTTAAAGACGTTTTACATGACTCTTCGTTTACACGCTTTCGGAGAGTAAATTTTAAGTTGATTTTGTCAATATTGCATCGTTTAAATTAGTGAGACAGTTTATTTATATTAAAATGTGATTTTTTTTTAAATATCACGAAATAGAAAAAATGGAAACCCAAGAGTCAATTCTTTCTGGCGAAAGCTCTTTTATCAATTTGATTTTCTTTTGAGATATAAGACTTCTATAATAAAGACACGAATTCCATTCTTATGTAATAGGCACATACATTAATTGTTATTTACGAATGACATCAATTGTTCAATTCCTTTTGATTTGTTAAAGGTACTGTCTCCGCTCGATAAGGTGTCTGGTACACAGGAGAAGACAACTCCAATCAATACGCGCGGATCTGGTGCAAGGTTATCAAATCATAACATAAATGTTCATTGTTGTCTAGAAATTCCGTAGTTAATCGAGGTTAAATGAGAACGTCGTTAACAAAAGGAACGGGCATATCAAGGTTCTGGTGTAAAGAAAATGGCTATGAAAACGTGATTTTACCCGAAATAATTATTACAAAGAACCACCATCAATAGAAACGACGTTTTTGTAAGTTAAATGCACTTCCGGTTGTTTACCAAACTTCTTGTGCTGTTGATGCATTGCTGTGTTTTTATTTAGTTTTGTATATTTACCATCGTATGGCATTACTACTATATCACCCTAACAAATTCAGTTGGCATTCATATAGGCTATGAATGCCATTGGACCAATTGTTGACGTCATCATTATTATGACGTCATAATTGTTACGTTGGATACCATTGACCCTACCTGGGCGATGGCTATTCTATTCATTGAACAAACATACACGATACATACAATATTTGAACCAAATGCTGAAAAATCCTAAGTGTAATTATTTTTTCTATCAGATGATCAGATTCCAAATATGGTAAATATAAGTACCGAACTGCTCTCAGTTGGCATTCATCGGCAAAATTAATTCTAACTAGACAAAGGCAAATCCATCAGGAAGTGCTAGCGCGCTTCATTGGATTTGCATTTTGTCCAGTTAGCATTCATATTGCCTTTGAATGCCATCTGAAAGCAGTTCAATGCTTAAGTGATATATTTATTAGCTGACCTCATTGATGGGAGCTTCAATAATGTTCATTTATTTGGATATTTATTCACATCGTTTTTTATTTCAAAAGCCTAATTCTAAGTGTTTATATATTTAATTGTTCCTCTGTGTATACAGGAAGTGACGCCGGGAATTAAGACGGAATAATTAACTTCTATATTAAAATAATGCACATTATAACCACGTCAGTCATGAAAAATGACACCAAAATTATCATACGCAATGGCCTACAGTGGTCTATTGGGCCGTTTTCGATTGTAGCAATCCAGACGGTTGGACCGGTTGGACTGGAATTGTTCATTTATGAAATAAGGTCGGACCTAGTAATATGATGCTGCTTTTAGGCGAGCATTGACAAAGCCTTGCAAGGCCTGAATAAACATTTGCATGTCCGCCAGAAAAATGTTACATTTAAAAACAAACAAACAGGTCCGTCAGGATTTATATCTGAAAATATTACATTAAGAAACAGACGAACCGGTTGTTCTTAAACTGTTATATTGTACATACATCGAGATGTAATTTTAAAGTTTGGTTAAAAACGGTTGAAATTATACGGACTGGTTGTCAATAATGTATATTGATGTTAAAGATCTTTATGTGTTGAAACAAAATAAACATATTAGTCTGATTGGTGGTACAACAACGCAGACGTCAGGCTGCGGTGTAGGGTACGGTAGATGTTTGACTGTATAATAGAGAATAAATTAGGGGGTTAAGTATATATTATGAATATGTATCAACTGTCAACCAATATCAGGTTATAACAATATGATTAAATATGCATGCAGGATCGATTTCGAAAACATGTTTCGAGCTCAATGTGAAGGTAGTAATTGTGGAAGACGAAACTGGAAATATAAGATTTAGATGCAGGTGTCATGCGTGGGTTTTGTGTTGGTGTTTTGGGTAATTTCCAAATGCTTTGTTTATTGTTATATACACTTCAATGTTAACGCTATTATATTTGTATATATTTACATGTAATTTGTATGTTTTCAAAAAGCTTCGAAAAGAACGTCACGCCATATTGACATTGTATGATCATTGTTATGTACATACATGTACAGGACGTGCTTGCTATATAAGCACCTGTTACAGTACACAAAACGTAATTGTATAACGCTCGATGACAAAATTGCTATCATGGTCTGTAAGTCAGATTTTTGACTTTAGAAGGATTTGATATATTTAACGCTGACATTATGATTAAAAGTTAACTTCCGCGTCTTTTTTTACAGTATGCCCTGTTTATAGCACGTGAGGTTGGCATCCGTCGTCCGTCATCTCTTTCTGTGAATACCTTCTTCTGAATAACGAATATATGGAGTGGAGCCCGGAAAAATTGCTAAAAATGACCTTGACCAACGTTCAAGGTCACAGCGGTCAAATGTATCAAAACATTATGCTAAAGATTCGAAAGCCTATTGCTATCAATGTATGATGTCAACATATAAGCTTTGTAGGATAGAGCATGACAAATGTTGCGCAGAAAACATGACCTTGAACTACTTTCAAGGTAACAGGGGTCAAATATGTTAAAAAAGAACAACAAATTTACAGTCATGCCGGGGCGCGTATTCATGAAACCGTTCTCGAGCTCAAGTCTAGATTCTGTGCTCAACCTTTTAAAGAATGGTACATGGTAACAAATCACGTGTACACATTTATAGTTGTTTCAAACTTTAAGTGTGTCACTGTGCTTGTTTATTAAGTTATCACCGGAACAGAATATTGGGCTTGAGCATGATAACAGGTCCACACATACAAGTTCGGGACTACATTCTCTGTATACAATAATCGCGTACAACGTACACATGTACGTGAATATGTTTCTGTCATAACACCTATTAATTGCATTCCTGTTAACCTGTATTTTGTACTTTACCGCAGAATCGTTAACTAATTAACATTATCCAGGTTTTGGCGGACGTCCACACGCCGTCTGCAGTTTCCAATATCGCCAACTGTCCGCAGGTTGAAGCAGGCCTGAGACATGAAAAGCTTACACCGGACATACAACTGCCGGGGATAGTATAACGGATATTACACTGTCGGTGATGGTATTCCGGACATAACACTATCGGGGATAGTATATCAGAAAAAACACTGTCGGGGATGGTATATCAGAAAAAACACTGTCGGGGATGGTATACCAGACATACTCCTGACGGGGATGGTATACCGGACTCTGTCGGGGATGGTTTACCGGACAGACCACTGTCGAGGATGATATACCGGACATAACACTGTCGGGGCTGGCATACCGGACATATCACTGTCGGGGATGGTATACCGGACATTACACTACCGGGATTGGTATACCAGATGTATCACTGTTTGGGATGGTATATCGGGCGTTACATTATCGGGGATGGTATACCGGACAGACCACTGTCGAGAATGATATACCGGACATTACACTGTCGGGGATGGTAAACAGGACATACCACTGACGGAGATGGTATACTGTACATTACACTGTTGTGGATGGTATACCGGACAAATCTCTGTCGGGGATGGTATACCAGACTTAACACTCTCGGGGATGGTAAACA